ATTAAGACGAAGATCAAGCATCTGTAATTGATCCATCCAATAATTGTAAAACATGCAATAACTGTTTACGTTGTGCTTTCAATGTGTTACATAATATAGTTCAACAGCGGTTGTTTTAACAATATATATTATGCATATAAATTTGTATTAACGTTGCCATGTACCCAAGTTACTTGTGAAAGAACCTTTTCCAAATTAAAAAATATCAAAACAAAACTAAGATCAACTATTTCCCAAGAAACAATGGAAGCATTGTTATTGATGAATATATAGAAAGAAATGTTGAAATTGATAAAGAAAGTGTAATTGATTCTATTGGAAAGAGTTCTAATGAACTTTCAAAACTTTTGTTAAATTGAATTGTAATTTATTTAAGTTTTAAAATTATTTACATTTAAATGTTTATTATCATATTATGCACCTATGTATTGTTTCATATTTGTTAAAGTCAAACAAATTGTTATAAATAAAAGTATGTGTGTAAAATATTACACTTTTATCTAAAATGTTTATCATTATAATGTGTTTTTTTTTTATTACATATAATTGTTATCTTATTTAAATACAAAAATGGAGAAGTAGAGAGCGGACTAACAATTTATAGTCCAACTTTAGTAAGGCAGTAAGGGCCCTTTCATCAGATCGCAGACTGGGCCTTTTGTTGCCAGTCCGACCCTGCTTACAGCTAAATCACCCTGTGATCTACTGTAAGTATAATGTATAGGTATACCTATAGTTCCTATAATATACTAAATTCTACTGTTGTAATGGGTGTGTCGGTTATTATTTGTATGAGCGTGCATCGCACGCATGTGATAATAATATGTGTTTAATGTTTATAGCGCATACAATTTTATATTATACATACATGGATAACAAAATGTGGAATGTGGTATGAAAAAAAGGTACCCAATGAAATAAAAACAAGTTCGATAACAATTATTGTTCATTGTATTTAATGAATGGATTTTGATTTTCAATAAATAGGAGTGTACAAGTTATCAGCGTATATGATCGTATCTGTATTTAGTCTTAAACGTTTTTTTAATTATGTTAGAAATATTTACTGTTTACAAATTATATAATACAATAAGTACAAAAACAATTACCAACACTTGATAAAAATTGAAACTTAAAAGTATAAAAGTAAAAAAAAACAGAGAGTAAAAACGTGTAGGCTTATTTTTTTGATATCACTTTTTTTCTTTTATTGAACAAAAATGTTATTTACAATCTGTAATTACATGTAGTACAATGAGTAAACAGGATGTTGGTTGATTAGTGGGAGGGGGAAGTCACCCAATGGTGGCTACCCGATTGATATCACTTGAACGAAAAAAAATTCTTATTCTTTCAAAATCCATTATTATTTGTGATTTTTAAGCTTTAATAACTTTTTTTGATGTTCCGATAACAAAAAAACAAAATCGATATTGCACAGCCAAAGTTCTCCTTTTTATGTGGTGAAAATTTCGTTTCTTTGTTATGACTGTATAGCCTTCTCGGTTCTTTCCCGCGCAAAACAGTTTTTGCTATGCCGTACGTGTGTAGGACGGAGACAACAAATGCTGGTGAAACGTCCTCTTAACAGGAGCCAATAAGTTAAGCCAACCATTGGAAAACCACGCTAATTTGTGCTAATCTATCGGCCCGCCACAGGGCAAACGGCTGAACATATATAAGGTCACATTATAAGGTATTGTGCAGATGGGAACGGGGGGACTCGCAAGCAGATATTGGTTGGAAAAATTACAACCAAAAATCAAAAATGTTCAAGTATACTTTTAAGTCCGACTTTTCGTATGCGACTAAAAATATTGTAAAATATAATATTGTCCCCCCGATCCGCCGCTTATCCATCCCACTACTCTCGTTGCTGCGGAAACGTGTCTAATATTGAAAAGTGAAATATAATTAGTGGATTCTAGTGGATGCCTATAATAGTATAATGACATAATAATACAAATAACACATTAAATGTATCGTGGCGCAGAGCTAAGTACCTTCAAAAAAAGAGCTCGCGACGACGATGGCAGAATATTATACGAGACGGCCAACTCGTATTTAACTAGTGTAATTTTCCAAAAAATGGTCCAACTTCTATGTAGCCTAAACTAATGAACTGATTGCCTTAGGATTTACACGGGTTAATCGGTATGCTATGTAGATGATACTTTTATAAATTTCAAGTGGATCGGAGTATTACAGCTTGAGTAATATGCAAAAGTATTTGTATAAATATTAATCGAAACGCTATTTTTTTTTCAACAATGCTTACCTATGTTGTACGCACCGCCGGTAGCAACCAGGCTATAATTTCGGACTATGAATAATTTTCGCCGCGCATTGGTTACCATCGCTATTTGAACAGTCAGTGGTAGTCGTCGTTGCCACAGTAAATAGTGACATTAAATTCTATATGTTTGACACTATTTCAGAAAAAGTTATGATCGATGATTACTGATTAGGTTTGAACATTTTCAGACTTATTTACCTCGTACAGTGTACACATCACATAGATTAACACACATTAATGCAAATATATATATATATATTTTACAAATACAACTATGGCCGACCCTACTACAAAAATCAATGACCTAAATAATATAAATAATATAAATACATTACCCACCAATCCAGACATTAAATATTGAAGAAAAAAATATTTAAATTGTACTCAGTGATTATCCACTGCGGTAATTCAATGACGTCGGCCCCGGTGACGTATTTAAGAATTTTTCATAGAGGGTCCAGCTATTTTTCCAAACACATTTAAGTAGGGGGGCTCTGTTACAGAATATATTAGATGTTTAGATACGTATATATGGTGCCAATGAGGGGGTCTGGACCCCATTGACTATTGTGTTCTTAATTAATAAAAATAAATATTAATTAATTAATCTTAAACCTATATTTATTCTCTATCGTTCACCGAATATAATATAGCAAGTCTACAGTCGAATTAGGGTAACTGGGCGAGTTAATTTACTATGTAATTAAATCCTTATATATATATAAGACGTATAGGCGCAATATTTTCACATTACCACAATTTGCCTATAATCTATATACATGAAATATAAATTATAATATATCATATTCATTCCATACTCAAATAACTCAATCCATAAAACAACAAAGATGTTTTGACGTTTTGTCCTCTGCACAGTTGTTCATTCAAAAAAAAAACATAGGTTAACTATATCCAAAATTGTTATAAAAAAGTTAATGATATCCCAACAAAAACACTCCATCAACAACGTGTAAAATCCTCACTAAAAAAAAAACTCAAATTAGAAAAGGGCTAAGTCATTTCTTAAATTCATTAGTATAGAAATTATTTATAATTGTTAATATTTGATGAAGTGCGATGGCCGATGATTAATACAAATAATTTAACTTATCTTACTTATCTTAATATTTTTCATATTTTATAGATTTTTTGGTTCGATATAAGCTATATACGTACCTATGAGTAAAACTCACAGTTAAATTTTCAAGAATTTGACCTTCAAATATTTATCGAAATCAATTTTACAAAAAAAATCCCAGTTTTCCCAATTATTAAGGAGCGTACTATAAAACTTAGTTTATATTATGGTAAATATTATACGTATATACTATTATAATAATAAATTATTAATACATACCTCTAATATGCTACCCAACTAGTACCCATTATGCTATGTTTTTGGAAAAAAATTAAATCAACTTAGGTACGCCATACTATATTAAAATGTACCATACCGGGTGATTCTTTTATCAAACAACACTCATTATTTCAAAAAGTGTAAATTTTTTTGAAGATATTTTTTTACATATAGTTTCAAGTCGCTTATAAAACAACGTTTTTATTAAAAAATTATATTTTGAATTATTTTTTATCCTTATAATTTTTTAAGTTTTTTACTTTTCTGAATGACAACATAGGGTTTTAATTTTATATTTTATATTCTAAAGTAAAATATTTTTCTTAGTATTTTGATACATGAAAATTGAATGTTTTATAAGCGACTTGAAACTATGTAAAAAAAATATCTTCAAAAAAATTTACACTTTTTGAAATAATGAGTGTTGTTTGATAAAAGAATCACCCAGTATAGTAAAATAAATTATTTTAACAACAATATTAAATAACATATGATGAAAATACTTAGTGATAATATTATATAGGCTGACCGACCGTTTTCGCCAATCATTTTTTGTATGCAATAATTATTTATCATTTAATTCGAATTTAAGTATAACAGTGCCTTACTCAATGTCCAATGACGAGTTATACTCAATTATAGTAATAAATTTCCCGATTATTTTGAAAAGTTCTGGGAAATTATTGCTTTTGTAACACTAGATCCTATGTTCAGATGTTCTACCAGAAACCACCTTTAAATGTTGAAAATCGAGGCATTTTTCTACTATAAAACGTGACGTCAAATACAAAATTAAATGAAAAAATAAAATAAAATAAAATTTTATTTGAAAAATTGCTTTTTCAAATATTTTCCATTAAATGTAATTCAAATAAGTTATTCCATGTAAGTAATTGATCGTTCAGACCACGTGATATAGATAAAACGACGTTTTCACTTAAATTTGAAGTAGGTATCAAAATATTATCAGTCGACAGTTACCCATATTTTCCATAATCCATTTATTTAGCAGTATAAAAAATCGACTTTATGACTTGCTTTATACCTGCATTTAAAATTTTGGTTTAGAATTTTGCTATAGTTAACACGGCCAATTATAAATCGTTCTGCTGTAACGCGATTCGTTCACAGCCGCTCCCCACTCATTGTCGTCAGCTCGAAGCGCTACGATACATATACACCCACATAAGTCCACGCCGTTGACTGAGAGCTATTCTATGGTATTCGCTCAGTGTTCGTCGGCTTAGAACGTTTCCGCTCGGATAACTAGTTCCGTATTATTTACTGTAACGGTCCGGTGAGACCCCCTGCACGAGCGTATACGCGACGGCCATTGCTGCGGCTAACATGCAGCTTTTGAAAATGATGGGCTTTGCGTGGAACGTGGTGTGTCGGGCTTTGGCGTCCGTGGTCGCGGCGCTTATGGCCGTGACGGGCGTAGTGGCCGCTACGGCCGTCACGTGGAACAGGACTGCCGGCGTGGACGAGCCCGCCGTACCGTTAAGCGTGAATTATCATTTCACGAGGCAGTGTAACTATAAGTGCGGCTTTTGCTTCCATACGGCCAAGACGTCGTTCGTGCTGCCGCTGGACGAGGCGAAGCGTGGGCTGACCATGCTGGCGGAAGCCGGCATGAAAAAGCTGAACTTTTCGGGCGGCGAGCCGTTCGTCCGGGACGGCGGCCGCTTCATGGGCGAACTCATCAAATACTGCAAGACGGAACTGAGGTGGGCGGGCATCAGCATTTCGATTGTTAGTAACGGCAGCTTGATCCAAGAAAAGTGGATGAGGCAGTACGGCGAGCACGTGGACATGCTGGCCGTGTCATGCGACTCGTTCAACGCTGACACAAACCGAACGATCGGCCGGCAACAGGGCGCAAGAACAGATCACGTTGCAAAATTATACCAGGTACGTGAGTGGTGCGGACAGTACAAGATCGCGTTCAAGATCAATACGGTGGTCAACACGTATAATATTGACGAACTGTTCGTCGAGCACATCGACCGGTTACGGCCGGTCCGGTGGAAGGTGTTCCAGTGCCTGTTGCTGGAGGGCGAAAACGCGGGCGAGGGAGCGTTGCGTAACGCCGCCCGGTTCTACGTCACCGACGAACAGTTCGACGGGTTCCTGCGCCGGCACGCTGAAGTTCAGACGCTGGTGCCCGAGACCAATGATGCGATGCGCGACAGTTACCTGATCCTGGACGAGTATATGCGGTTCCTCAACTGTCGCAATGGCAAGAAGGAACCCTCCGCGTCACTGCTGGACGTCGGCGTGCAGCACGCGCTCCGTGGTTCCGGTTTCGACGAACAGGCGTTCTTGGAGCGGGGCGGCGTGTACCTGTGGAGTAAGCAGCAGATGTCCGAAGCCGAGCTCGAATGGTGAAGGGCCAAATATTTTTTCTTTCATCACTGCTGCACCTCATATCTTGTCTATATATTATATTATACGTCTTATCGCAATTATTTTGGTACGCGCAGCTAGGTACCTACTACCTACCCTATATTTAGTTTTATATATTTTGTGGTGTGGTGATATTTTTCAAGTTACGATCAATCGGTTTCTAAATTATATGAAAAATATTCACTTGGACGATTTTTTTTAAATCAATATTATGCTTAACCCATGCCGATTTTCACAAATAAGTAATAACTAATAACTATCAACGGAAAGAGATATTGATAAAGGAATAAAATTCAAATATACAGGCCGGGTCCCTCGAGGTTATACCCAATGGCAGTAGAAGGGACTCGGTGCGCGGATTTTGTGCCTTTTTACCTTTAAACTAAAAATAATATGAAAAATCCTGTGATTAATGAAAATAAAATATTGAAAGTTTGAAATGCCAAAATTTTCAGAAAATTAAACTCTGAAAACCTTTAACTGTTACAAAAATAAAAAATTACATTTTTTTTTAACTTTTTTACTAATATGTTTAATTAAATTGAAAAACAATATATATGTATATATTTTAAATTAAAATTTGTTTCTATTTTACAGAGAAATTAGTAAATTACACACATTTTTACTTAATAATTTAAGTTTATAATGAAAGAAAATAAAAATAAAATTATCTACAACCTTTGAGCACATGCTAGTATAAAGTAACTAATACATAAAATTTCAACAGTTTAATATAATTTTTTATTAGTTATTCAAGTACCTACTGAAAATAGCCAAAACTGAATTTGAAGTTGTAGTTTTTTGAACCTATAGATCTGTGCATTTTTGACCAAACGCTTTTTTAGAATACTCCATTCTGATATCAAACGCCCTATTTTATCTTTTAACTATTACCTTTTTCATATCCAGAATAGATTCAAAGTTTTAAATCATGTATAAAATAATTATTTTCTTATATACAGACTTATATGGTAATATGAACACATCTATAATATCTTAAAGATTTCTTTAGTTGAACCTATTAAAGTATTTTTACTTAAACATATGCTAAAAAATTTTGTTTGAAAAAGTTGTAGTGGCTTAGTCGCATTTTGATTAAGTCCCCCCCCTCCAAACCAATAAACTATTTTATAATAATGCCTGAAATAATGATAAATAAATTATACATTTATACGCATAGTTTGCATCTGTAGAAACGACTGTAGGTTCATAATATTTATTATGGTAAATTTGGCTATAAATAATAAAATTAAAAATAAGTTGTATTTCAAAGAAAATCGACCGAATCATAACATTTCAAAATTACACCTACCACAAACTCTATTACCTAGCTTTGAATTAAAAATAATATTTATAGCTGTGCGTCTACTCGCCCTAATTAAATAACAAACCCACACATTTGGTTTGATTTGGCGGACAAGGGAAAGGTATGCTTTTGGTGGAAACCGGCTATGCCTATTATAGATTCATAGACTCATAAAATAGCTATTAGAAAACATAATCATTCGTAGTTGACGATAACCCGTTTTCTGGGAAAAACATAGTAAAATCATAAATACAAATTCGAGTTGAAGAACTTCATCCAAACAATCCCGGTGAGTTAATAAGGTATATATATATTTTTTTTTCTTAAGGGGAGTATTTTACCTCACTTGACTCCCTAATTACAGCACTGTTAAAATCTAATAATATCTCTAAATCGAAAATAATATATTTCACACTATAATACTATATCATCACGAATTAAATGAATAATAATTGAGGGGTTTCAATTCAAAACGTACTTTTTCCATTTTTGACAAAATCGAGTTAGATATTGATTCTAGTAGAAATAATGGCGGGAAATCGAATGGTGAGGTCAATTTTTGGCTAACCTCACTTATTCCCTATGAAATAGTCGATCAAAAATCGCCTTTTTCTGCAAAACGTTCCTTTTCCAGGTGTACGTTTTAATCAAAATGAACTATTTCCAATTTCCTGCAAAATGCACTTTTTCCTCATATGTCAGCATAGGAGAAACAAATCGTTCATAGCAAAATGTGCCATTTCCTTAATTTCTGAGCAAAACGTACTTTTTCCATTTCTTATCAAAAAGTACTTTTTCCTTTGTAATTGTAATACAAATTTAATATTTTGACTATCAATTTTTTTCAAAACGCACTTATTTTATTTTGTCATAACCTCATTAACAAAAAAAAAGTTATTATATTTTTAATAATTAAAATATAAATTTGTACTCAGGGAAATTAAATTATATTTATTTATATTTATTTTATATTCAAAAAAATATTTACATATCGTTCCTAACTTCAATAGAACCATAGATATCATAGATGACAAGATACGTTTTGGAGCGAAAATCGTGGTAGCCTACTTATCTCTATTGTTATTCACGATAAAATCATTAAAATTTAAAAAAAATGTGTGAACTTTTTTAATTTACCTTTAAATAAAAAGTATTGTATTAGTAATTTATTATATTGTAAATTAACTATAATATTATTATGAAAAGAGCACGGGCCATACAATTATTGGGGGCAGCAAAATCAGTAAATTGCTTTTATCTACCTAGCTCAAAATATTATTATAATTTTTTTTTTTTAATAAAGTACTTAAAGGTTTTTGTTTGATATGTTAGGGACTACAGCCTAAAAGATTTTTCTATGACAGATCTATTAAAGGTAACTTCTAATGTCCATGCTGATAAAGGAGAGCATACTATAACAAAGGTTGTTCATCCAAGTAATGTATGTTATATTTTGTGGATAATATTATAAAGACATATTTTTTAAGTAAATCACTAAATTATACAAAACTGTTGTTTGTCATTTGTTATAAACTATTTATTTTATAAAAAACTACCATCAACATACATAATGCATAATCTTATATCATGTTATCATATAATGTTAGGTTAAAAATAATAATTTAGGTAGGTAGGCAGGTAGATAGGTAGGCAGGTAGATAGGCAGATATGTTATCATATAAGGTACCTACCTATCTACCTACCTACCTAATTTATTATTTTTAACATAAGATTTGTTTTTTTCCAAAAAGTGCTTATTCCAGTGTTTTATTCAAAAGGGACTTATTCCTGGAAAAGGTACGTTTTGTTCAAAATCACTTTCTTTAAATATAAAAATATACTAAAAAAAAATGAATGAGATAACTTTCGATATCAGAAATTGATTTATCATTTTTTTTACCTATTTTTCAATATATCACATTTCATCTAAATCGTTTAAAAATCAGAGTAACAAAAAATGAACTGTCCTGAAAAATTAGGAAAATGGAAAAGGTACGTTTTGAATTGAAACCCCTCAATTGAGTCGAAATGGTCTGCGGCGAAACGGTCGCGGCGAAATGTCCGGGTTCGGTCGCCAGTCGGTCATATCACCGACTAATAAAAATAATAACCCTATGTCCTAGCTAGTGCGGGCGAGTGCGTGCGTTTTATATACTGACCATGCTGTTCTGCACGCAATGCGTTGCCCGCATGCGGCGAAATACAAGCTATTTTGTTTTTCCCCGCATGCGTGCAAACCAGCTAGGACATAGCGTAATACCATAAACCTTATGCTCGGAGTATAAGGTCTATGAATAATACGTATTTTATAATGTGATAACACTGATAACTTATAAAATAAAATACGAATTATAATTAATTTTTTTCTTTTGCCGCCGCCCCCCCCCCCTATTGTTTATAAATGTATAAATTGGCCCGCCAACTACAAAAGGTTTGATCACCCTGGTATAAAAGATATAATATTATTTAGATAATATGAAATATTTAGTCGTATTGTATATTTTATATAGTAAACTAATATTTTATAGTCAATTTAGGATATAGATTATATTACACGTCATGTACGATAATATGTCTATGGTATGTACAGTTGTTGTAGGTACTATCACAGTATCACAGAATATACCAATGTTACTGGTACTATCACTATGTTTATATTAATAATATAATCTCATAAATATTTCTAAAATCTTGGTCCCGTTCTATACAAAACATAAACGTCTTCATTAGTTCATTAAAAGGACGTTATACCCACATGACGTGTTGTTTTACAAACGCATACAATATAACATAATACAATATATTATATAATATTTTGTGTTCAGCACTTCAGGGTTCAGCAGTTACAATTTTGTGTTATAAGTTATTATAACTTATGAGTTCATTACTAATATGTGATAACTATAATATATTTCGGCCTATGAGAAAAAATTACAGTTTCACGCATGCAGACTGTCGGCGGAGACAAAACACAGATAATATTATTGTATTAGCTTTAAGATTGATAATAATTAATAGGTATATAAACAATGTGTATATCATACATTCTATATTAAACCTATATTTAACCTTATTACACAAAACTGTTGTGCACAAAATGAATGTACTTTGTTATGTATTTGTTAGTATATTGAGACAATACACGCGGGTGTACAGGATGTAACAGAAAGACCTGACAAATAAAATAACTTTTGTTCAAATCAATATTTTAAATTATTATTTTTTTGATTGTAAAATCATTTATCCAAGTCAAATGGTTTATTTTTTAAGTGTTTTAAATTTTAATGTCATATTATTTTTTTTTAAGTCTTATTAATTTCAAAAATAATAATTTTTAAAAAAAGTTTATTGTTTATGAATTTAAAATGTTTTTTAAAATTGGATCAACTTTAGTTTTTACTCAGTGTCGATCTGGCCCCCGGATATTTTCATGTACTAGGGGCCCATAGCTAAATGGAAAAAAATATTTTGTTTACTTGAGATTCCAGACTCGGGTTCCAATCGAATCAATTTGTAAACATTGAACCATTGGTTATAAATACTAGTATACTAGTAGATAATTGAACATTGTAATCGTTGAGGCCGCCGATAACGCTAAATTTAGTCGATATAATATCTTTAGATTTATGCCATATACTTATATAATTATATTATATCTATTACCCGTGGTCGGCAG